ATATATATATATATATATATATAAATCAGAACTATAATGAAAATTGATCACAGTCTCATCAAATTATCCTTTAATGGAACGATGCGTCTAAGATAGTCAACCAGTCATAATAACCATACTTACATATCGCCAATGCAATCGATCAGCTAAGTCGATTGATAATGCCCTCATTAGCTGTATCAATTCATATCCGAGAAGCACTCTCCTTAAGAGTGACTAAAAGGTATTTACTAAACGTATTATGTCAATTTCATTAGTCACACAGCATTGAAAGTTCATCGAGCGCACCACATTCTCTTACCGTCATCATCATCATTCTCCTCTCCTTGTCATAACTGTATAGTCAAACAAGTGTAATCCTCAGCAACATTAGCGCATGGTCAAAGTATGTATATGCCCATGGAATAGATCCAGAAATTTTGAAATTCACCCGCTGAGAAGTCATTCGATCCATCCGCATTTTCTGCTTTTCGATTACTAAACCAATTCCTTTCAGCACTTCCAAATCATAACATTTATAAGAACCCGTGTTGATGTGCACCATCCACCATTCCACAATCATTACTACTATTCCTGTTAATACTGATCGGTGTCAGCAGTGTGAATTCAAACGATTCATCGCTCAGAATAGCGATCCTTTCTGTTACATACTTGGATTTCTACTCATATGTTTTCTATGCTGCTCGAAGTGTTGAATTTATCAGCCTCAAATCTGTTACCTGCATTGATTTTCTACATTTTCAAGATTTGAACAATCAAATACGATAAACTTATTCCGTGCAATCGAGTCCTCCACGTTCGTATAAGAATTTTCTGTTCACTTTCATGAGTTCCCTTAGGTTCTATTATGGATATCAACTGCTCACAGAATGTTAATTATTATGTGCAGTTGATGTTGCGTCGTAATCACATGGCAGCGTTGTGTCTATGTATTTTGAATTATAATTACTGGATGAACGGGAATAAAACATTCAAAGAAGTCAGCAATTGAAGGATAAGATTTATTATCTGCTTTATGGAGTGGTAGTTTCGTATTAATTCGTTTCTTGCATTTATTGCACTCATAAATTGTGATCAGAATCGTGTCGGTCAATTCAACTTGACATGATAATAAATGCCATGATGGTGGCATCACGTGATGAATAGCGTCATTATTCCTTGTTTGCAATCAATTACCAATTCGAATGATAGAATTTAGAAAGGAATAACCGTCAGAAGAAACAAACGATCGTGCCATATTCCGTGAAAACACTGTGATAATGGATCTGTGAAAATCAATTGGCAAATAAAGTAAAGTCTTGGAGTGGATTACTCACCTCATCAAATCCAGTCACAACACATCTTATGCCAAGGCGAATAAAACTTTCGTTGACGAACTCATCATGTGATCACCTCGAAGATGCCAGTCGAACCAAACATGCGTATCATACTTTTCAAGAGCACAACGGCAAGAAACAAGAAGAAGACAGTTTACTGTGTGAAGAAGATAAAGGAAGTGGTGACGATGTTGAGTCAAACGACTCGATGTCGACCATTACAGCGACATGCTGTTGGTCGAATTATTTATCAACAATCAAATTTTATTGTTGTCTGTCTGGTGCTGACGAGGACAGTGAAACTGTAACAGCATCAGCTGCTTTTACATCGTCAGCCTCATCGTCTTCTTCCCTTAAACAGCCTCGAAATCGTCACCGATCTGTGCGCATTGACTCTGACACTCCATCAAAGCATACCTCATCAATTAGCAATATGAAAAAGCTCATCAATTATCATTCTCGTATGAATCAAACCAAACAATCATTTATCACTTCAACAATGCACAAAAACGCTCTGCAAACTGCCAGTAAACTGCTCGTGCAAATCTCTGAGAAAAATCCGTCGAGATGTGAGTTCATCATAATTTTTCTCGAACTTCCTCAAATATTCCCTCTATGAAATCTTAAGTGCTCTTTATGCGCCACCTCATATGATCGCATACACAGGTGGCGTTATGAAGTGAAGTGTAGAAATGGAATCTTGTCGTGTTTTCAAGAATGCTTTCAACATTCATCCCAATGTGCTAATTAAAAATAGATTTTCAGATCAAGTAACACTTCTTAACTGGTAAATTTAAAGGAAAACAGTTTTCACATTATTTAATTACCATTTAGCGTTCACGAACAGATTTGAATATTTCTAGCAGTAAGTAATAACATTATCAACGCAATGCACTTCATTAAGCGCATCGATCCGTGACAAATCTGAATGCATTTCATTATAGTTAGTGCACCGAGAGTTATACGGTGACAAGGAAAGAAGATTGTTTGAGAAGAAGGGGATGACACTCTGCCCTTCGGCCGGAGGAAACACGAAGTGAATGACTGCTTTAAACATTGTTTTTGATGCGATATTGTAAACATTGATTCATCTGCAATTGAAAACAACCCATCATATAACGCAACAGGCGCAGTGAAATCCTCCACTAATTGTGAGCAGTTTTCATTACGTTTTTGTGAATGAAACTGCGAAAATACATCATCGTCGAAATTCATCAGAGATTTGAGGATGAGTGGTAGGGAGTCAGCTTGAAGCGTTCATCATAATTTTTTTGAGAACACATTGCTATGGATTTAAGAATGGATTTAAGATGAAGCACTTAAAGGTTTCATTGAATTAGTTATGGAGAACGAATGTGATCATATCTCAGTTCGAGTGATAATTGTAACGTCCTTGAGAAGTCGACAGCATCGGATCGATAATTCATATACATAAGTAAATGCAAGCGGTTTATGGGAAATTTATGAATATTTTTTGTACATTTTCTAAATGTGATTCCTTCGGTGATGAAAAGCTAAGAAACTGAAATTAATTAAGCTAACAGCTTCGCTTTTTTTCATCGGCAACAAAATATGATCTCTTCAAAGCAATCAAATTCAATAACTGCGCTTAATTTCCACAGTACTCTCGTGCCTAATGTCCCAATATCTTGGTCAGCAAAATAGCTCGTTCGTGGCTGTTATGGAGCTGTGATGGCGTTAACTTTTGCAAACCTTAATTAGACGGTCTTTCAAAGTGTTATGAGATGCATAAGATAGCGCCACTTGACTGCAATTTGCGTATTTATCGTTCACGTCAAATAAGGGAATCATTGAAACTTTAGTATCGAGATAACTATGATAACACTTATCGATTCAACGAGATAGCACTTTCTTCATATTCAGTTGTTGATGTTTTAGCCAATACTGATGAGTGAAATATGCGCAAATTTTTGCTGATCAGTTTCCTTAATGAACATCCTTCGATCCACCAACTTTCAAGAACTTTTTACCAGATTTAGTTTGCATAACCCTAAATCTCTAAACATTTCGAGTGAATCGAAAATTCTCAACCAATAAAAGAATAAAACGTTTGATATCAAATTAAGAAATTGTTTGTTCTTCCGAACTGAAGGGTCGAAAATTTTTAACCTTATGTACCATAAACCGACACAAATTCTCCCATAGAGAACGCCATGAATTAATCCATTCACAGACATCGTTTTTAATTTAATTGATTCAGAGAATTGTTTTATGGGAACGATTTTATTGTTTAGCTCTCACTGAATTCAATTTTATCAATTATTTTTCTCCATTCTATTCTCAGGTCGACTTCTCTAGAATGATATAAAGCAATTACTTATGCTGCATAAGCACCATTTACTTATATTATATACCACATAACACCGAATATTTATGCTTTGAAATGCGGAACCTTCGACCGACAAGAGGGGAGGAAATCAAGGGTACGGGATGAATTGAGTAGAGGGATGTGTGCGGCTTAAAAGGTGAAGTAAATTTGAAGGCGGATTCAGAATCGAACGAGTGAACATGTGTTTACGGTATTATTTGGGCAGTTGATCTGTCAGTCTCAAATGAGTGGAATTTCAAAACGCTGCATTAATAACAAGGCAACGTTCGAATGCTGAAAATGTAGTGAAATTGTTATTATTATTTGCTGCAATCTCCGATACTTTTTTATTGAAATGCATTCTGATGAAGTCGACTGGATTAGACACAAGGGTATTGTGAAGAAGAGTACAGTATGGAGTAAAATCATTGCAGCTTTTGCTTCGTTAAGACGTACGGACATTGATTGTTGTGACTAACGTCATGCATACTCAGTGTAATCAGATGCATTAAAGGACTACTTTTAGAAGTGTTCTGAATATGTCACGAGAGGTATACGTAACCAGGCGTTCTGCTTATTGATCAAGCAATTATTCAGATACTCTTGCTGTGCGCTTGTCTTCCGAAGTATTACATAAAGGCAATCTAAGTCATTGTACCGATTTCCTTTCATTTTATTCATCCATTCAAATAACTAGACAACCTTAAATATGTATGTTATTAGAAGAACACTAATAAAGTAGTGCTTGTATAGTACCAAGGAAAATGTAATCAAAAGTTGNGTTGACTTCAGATTGACTATAGTCATGCTTTAATGTGACTAGTGAGCACGACTATGAGCTCACTCGTCATTGGGTTGTGTCTCATTCAGCGTTCGGCCTTAGAACGCATCAACACGCCCCATGCAACAAATAAATAAATAAATATTGTTGTATATAACGCAACCATTCCAGCGCTTGCATCAACTTAATTTGACTATATTCATTCTCCACTCATTCACATTTCTTCAGTCAAGTTCCTCACATCATCCCTTCCATTCCATGTCAATATCACTGAGTTCCGTTTATATCCATTTCTGAAATCCAACTCTTCATACAAACTAATCACCTGTCCTATCTTCGATCGTTATTCAGCCACAGCTCATCTGATCATCAGATTTTTGATTGATGTGTTCTATTGTCAGGCTATCATCATCAGTTTCATCCAGTCATACTTCAGTAAACACATATTCATCAACTTCAGCTAAATATCATTTATGTGATAAATCTATTTATCATCTTCTGTGACAAGTTTAAATTTTTGTTCAACCGGCATACTTCAGTTTGTCGCAATAAACCGAAATTCAAGCCATATAATTAGATTATTATAATCAATTCGAATCACATAGTCAAACAACGACAGAATGCCATTGCGAGGACGTAAGCTGTCATTTTATATTCATTATTGCTGGTATTTTGATTTTGTATTGGCGATTGATGAACATTTTGTTGCGGTATTAATCGAGCTGATCATCCGAAGTTACTTGCCTTGCGTTTTTAACAGTTTAGTTTGTGAAAGTGATGTGCGAAACGCTGTTGTCCATTTGGGAATTAGCATCAGTCTGCACCTTAACTTGACCAACTGAATACTGATGCTAATCACGGATGCAGATATTTGGTCATAGGAAGATTTTTGATTTGAAACAATAAAGTAATTCCAGTTCAGTGGCAGAGTTCATAGCTCTACTAACAAAATTATAGCAATTCACTTCAAGAATGAGCACAAACTTTTCAAGAATGAGCACAAACATTGCAAGTCAAAAGCGTATTTCTGACGTGCACGCATAAAATTTAACTGTAATTCACGCATAAAATTTCCTTTCCAAAAGTGACGACATTCTCCGGTGATAAATGACATCTGTCTAAGTCATGACAGGTCGGTCACGCGAAACATCAGACTTCGTCGCCGGAAATTATTCGTCGAACGCAACAGCCCTAATATATTTATGATAATTGCTGTTGTTGAAGCTGATTCCTTGATCATATCAAATATTTTGGTCACTGATCACTCATTAATTTTATACTGGTCCTAATTTCGTTGAAGTTGGGTTTTTGTTAGAGCGGAAGGACAAAGTTGTTGAGACCGTTGTGACTCATTATAATGACCGACCTCCGTTTGCGAATAATTTCATTCTCAGTTCACTTTTCGGAAGAGAAATTATCTCTGTAGCAGCCATACGTCTTTTCGTTTCTGTGATTATCGCCTTAATAAAGATAGGCGAATCAATATGAAATTAGCGTTTTTGCTGAATTACAAGTACATACGCAATCTCTAAGATGAGCATCGCAGCTCTTTAATTCGATATCCTACATGGGTTTGAATTCATGATAAAACCTATTAGCTAAACACAATGAGACGAGAAATAGATAATTATGAAATGTGGATAGATATTCGGTTAGTATATTGTATGGTTACATTGCAACATTTTGTGAATAAATGAAATGGAATAGATTTGAAAAGAAACGTTTAGATGTGGAAGGAAAATGAAATGTAATATTTTCAATGAAAATGTTTGTACATTGATGAAATGTAAACATTCAAACTTTTGAATATTTTGAAATTCCGTTTCTGAATTATTAATCTTATCCAAAGCCGTTTATGATTAATTTTATGCATTCGTCATATTAACAAAAAACTCCTAATTTATGCCGTTTAGTGAACGCATCAGTGATGTTTCTATTTGTGCTTTTTGATAATTTTCGCTGCCAAAAATCATTAGAGATGTTTGTTGAGTAGAAATCGCTAGACGTCGCATAATGCTTGAAAGCCGTCTAGAATTAGAAATGAACTGACAACACTTCTGATTGTGTGTCGTTGCGACTTTGAAAACATGATTGAATTAGCAGCATAACTTCAAATGATAGCTAATAAAGGGAGCAGTTGAATGCTACAGATCAAATCCACACCACTCAGCGGATATTCATTGTCAGTGTGAAGACACAGTAAATAAGAACAATTCCGAAATCTCTCAGACTTCATTGTTAAATTCTGATCGTCGATAAAATGATCGTTTCCTCGAAGTGCATTGCTATTTTGACGTAAATTGATTGGAATTTTAAAAGCAAATCTACTTTCCATCAATATTAATTTTGAATTTAATGGATTGAAAATACATTGAACGTATCGACAATGTTCATTTATTGTAGTGCGGAAACTCTCGCAGGCCTTCTTCAACGCTCAACAAGGCGATAGAATTGGTCAGTTTATCTGAATTTTTCATAACTTTGCTATCGCGAAATATAATCACTCTGAAATCATATGTAATGACCGTCTCAATGTGTTTTTCTGTTGATTTTTTATTGACACTGATGTTTTGTGTCATCGTTTCGTGATTATTCCTCTTTTTTTGATCTTTATTCCATCGATGAAAATTGTTGTTCAATGCGGAATGTTTCATCATTCGAAGAACTTTATTTTCTAAAAAAAATTGTGCGATAACTTATTTCATTGACATTTATTCATCTGACCAAAAATAGAAATCAACATGAACATTCACAGCAATCGAGAGTCGTAAATTCGTTAACAATTACGAAATGGCGTTGACATTCACCTATAGCATGTATTAATCGTTTTCAAAAACGTTGTTTCCACGTAATGCTTAGTCACGCTCAACGAGTAATGTGTTCCAAAAATGTGAACTCTCACTTTCGGTCAACACAGACCAAGCGAGAGGCACTGACTGATATGCTTTCAAATGAGACCACTCTCATGATTTACAGCACCGTAACATCAACTTGCCATATCACTAAACAATATCACTTATTATATAGTGTCTTTAATTTCAGCGTTTTTTCCTCTCATTTAATTCACATAATTCACTTCTGAATAATTGACTTCTGTTGCTCGTAATATTGGAAATGTTATTCCTTTCATTGACATTCTTGAACGAGGAATATTTCGTTGAATGCATTTAAGTATTGCTCTATCAAACATCCGCTTCTTAGAATGTTGTCAACAGAGCGTTCAGTAGTCAGCGAGACGAACGATATAAGCTTTTGTTCGCCGTTTTATCGTTTTATCTTTCCATTGCTCGTTTTGCTAAAAAATTGAATGCGATTGCAAATAGTACTGTGAATATGAATATCTTTTTCGTAATTATCACTGCTGTTGTGCACCACAAAAACATTCGATTCATCACTGCAAACAAAAACCTGCTCAACACTATTCCAGAGCCAATTATTCACAACTGCATTTTGAATGCGATTGCATAATTTCATTTTTCATTTCCATTTTCAGTCGTTCTATTGGTTTTTTTTTTCAGAAGGTTTTGAACAGATTGCTCATATTCAGAGCGATGATGATTTCATCTGCAATTCACTTGCATTTGCCTAAAATAACCGGTTTTTAAATTACTCTAATACGCTTGGGTACGGACATTCAAGTGTAACGATTCCGATCGTAAATGTGTTTCTCGATTAACAAGTCTACCCTCTCGATTGAACAAGTCAGCTAATGTTCGTAATGCTCTTGTTCATGTGACGATACATATTTCCATAACATACAGTAATATTTAGTGGTGGTCAAATCCAGCCTTTTCAAACCCTGAAGAATTCTAATCGAATGCATACATCTGATTCCTAACAAGTAATCACATCATTTCCATTGATTTCAGACGAAATAAAGTTTTTTGCTCATTCAGTCAAGAATGCAGTTATTTTCAGATGCATGCATTATGCACACTGTGTGGATGAAGAGTCGTAAAATTCCGATTCAAATTAAACAATTTTTTGAATCTAAGGATATCATTTCTTGTTTAATGACCGCTTAAGATTCTAAACGTTTTGTGAATATTTGAAAATACGCAGTAAGAGTGTTGGTTTGCTATTGAACGCATAAAGTCGAATCAGTTTCAGTCGCTTCGACTGAAACGCAATAACGATAGCGCGAATAGCCCGAAAGAAAGTTGTTTCAATTAAGTGCGATACTCTCATTAATATTTCATCTCATTTTCTCGACGCTCAACAAAATAACTCAGTGACGATTGTGCAAAGATGAAGAGTTGTCGTGTGGATGATGAGTTAGGAAGAAGAAGAAATGTGTTTTTGTATGAGCTGATGAATGATGATGAGAATGCGAAAATTCACGAAACAAGTCGCCTAATAAAGTTAGCCAAGCAAAGTTAGCCAAGCAAACTATTCCCGAGAGTGACATGAATTTCTTGAATCTATTAATTTTGACTTCGAAGACAATTCCATATATTCATCGACCCACTTCAGTTGCATTCATGATCATTTTAATTTCCAAAAATAACCTCAATATTTCAGTAATACACGTCAATTAGTTGAGGTGAGCTGTGAACTCTGTAGCAAGACGATCAGTAATATTTGTTTTATGTTGCTGACAAATAAGATTTCGAATCTGTCTCCATGATTGCTTTCCGAATTCACGTTGAGTGCAAAAGAGTGTGCGTCATATAGATCCTATCGTCTTCTATTCGTACGGATTTCATCGCAATCAATTTTCAAATAAAGAGCACAAGTAATATCTCGCTACAATTTTTCTTTGTGTAAACGTTACGAATGAATTTCCAACGGATGCATTTCTTAAAGGCAAAGCAGCGAAGCAATGAGGCATTCTTCCATCAGCTATGCGAATCACCAAGCATACCTCTCTTTTACGTTACCTATTCGACTAACGAATGGCAGTCATGTGTGTGCGTGTGCGTAATGATTTTCATAAAGACACTCTCTATGCTTTATGGAAGATAATTTGAGATAATCTGAGCTGTCTGACCTATCATGATAAGTTTAGACATCAATTCATAAAATGAATGTTTCGATGAACTGTTTGAAGTGATTATTGATTTTGTT